AGAGAGAGAGAGAGAGAGAGAGAGAGAGAGAGAGAGAGAGAGAGAGAGGAGAGAGAGAGAGAGAGAGAGAGAGAGAGAGAGAGGCAATTTTAAAATCACTTAGAAAATGGCCCAAAGGTGGAGAGGATGAAACCTATTTTGCCATGAAAACATAAGGATCTAGACCAAAGCTTTTGAATAGTTTGGTGACTGGCATTCTTGTTTCCATCCTCACACGAGATCTTTAGACAGGTTGCTCATCCAGAAGATAAAGAGCTCCTGGCTGCATTGCTGACAAGAGACCCAAGAACGTTTCTGACAGTGTTGCTCTTGGGTCCCTACACCTACTGTCTCTCTGGCTGCCATGCCCTGTTCTCCTCTCCTCTCTGACCCCAACTCCCATTTTAAAAAGTGCAATGTTCATTTTTCTGGCTTTTTAAAGCTGAGTGGAGTAGCTGAGTATTGAAGTTGGGACTTCTATACTCCCTCCATAGTCCTTCCATACTTCTTCCATAGTCCCTCCAGTGGGACTATGTAAAGGATCTAAAAGTGTATCAATTGTTATATTACATTATGCATGCATAACTCACCACACTCTGCTGATGTCAGTGTCCCACTTTGAGCCAAGTATAAAACTTTCCTTCTTTTATGTCCCTTTAGCTTTCTCCAAATATAATTGTCTTAAATATTTCTTCAACAGCCATTTAGAATGACCCGTTATTGTAGTAATTTTATCTTCACCTGTTAAAAAATTCAAGATCCTTAAGAGGAAATGGAAAATCTATTGAATTTACTCCCACTCTTTTGATTGCTACTGCTCCTTCTTGTTATGCCAGGATTTCCTATTGAATAATTCTTTTCCTTTTAAAATTCACACACACACACACACACACACACACACACACACACACAGAGGATAGAGGACAACAACTTTCAAGGGTCTGAAGGGTCTCTTCTCTAAGTCCACCTTGTGGAATCTGGGGATCAGACTTGGGTCATTGGGCCTTTACTTCTTCCCAATTAGCCTTAGATAATTATTTTTCTTATTATTTTCTTTGTGCTTAGGAAACAGTCTTTTGTCTATGTTAAGAATGCTAGAATCAAAATCTCATTGTTTTTCTTTAGTAAGGAATGCCCCAATTTCCCCCTTTGTTTAGGAAGGATATTTTCTGTGAATATGTCTTGGTTGGAAGGTTTTTAATTTTTTTTCCCAGCATTTAAAAAAGACTTTCTTACTTCGGTCTGTTTTCTGTGGTCTCTAAGGTGAAACCTATTGTTATTTACATTGTTTCTTCCTGTAGGTGTGATGTCATTTCTTAGTGTTATTTTAAGACTTTACTGTCCTTGTCTTTCATAAGTTTTGCTGGTATTACCAGACTTTGGGCCATAGCCTGTGCTCCAATAAGTCAGGTTCAACCACCTGTCCTAGATAAATCAATTAAATGAGCCTGATGTGTTGTTGAAGACAGAGTAGTGCGCATCTAAACGGCCTTAGTCCACACATTGTCCTGCCATCCACTGATTATCTTTATCTCTGTGGAAGGCGGCCATCTCTGGCTAGCCCAGGGTTCGGTTTTCTCTTCTCCCAGCAAGAGTTTGCTGGAGGAATTCTAGTTTCTTGTGGTCCATTGTTTCAAAAATCCGATAGCTAGCTTGAGGGACAAGAGTGTCTCTCTGTAAAATATCTCCATCCCTGCCACAGCAGTTATAGGGCATGTATCTTCACACTGACTTCTTGAGGTTTCCTTATTTTGGATTTCTTGAGGCTCTTGAATTCAGAACTCTTTTACTATATCTGGAACATTTTAGCCTTTATTACGTCATATTCTTTACATTTCTTTTATGTGAATGAATGTTTTGTCTGCATGTATGTATGTGAACCATAGATGTGCCAGTGAAGGTCAGAAGAGGGAGTGGGATTCACTGATCCTGGAGTTACAGATAATTGGCAACCAAACCCTGGTCCTCGGCCAGAGCAATGGCTTTTCCTAACTGCTGAGCTACATCTTCAGCCCTCCATATTCCGTTTTTAATCCCTGTCTTCTTTTTCCTTCCCTTTTTGACTTTGAGTGCTGGAGGACTATAGTTTTTCCTTTATTATCTTCTTGAAGGGAAGAATCCAGTTGAGAGACGGACACTTTAAGCAGAACTTCATTTGGCAAAGTGATAATATACTCCAGATGGCTGAGCCAGGATGGGTAACAGTAAGAAGTCTCGGGTGACTATTCATAAAAGAGAGTGTTTAATGATTATTTATGAGATGGCTTATCCACCCCAATCATGGATTAGTTCTTCCTTTCAGAGTACTTTCCCCTAATATCTAGCCAGAAATTATCATGAGGCAGCTCAATACTCACAATGCAAATGAAATTCTAATAAAGCTTAACAACAAGCATGGTAGTGCTCACCTTTGATTCCAGAACAGAGGCAGAGGCAAGCAGATCTCTTGAGTTCAAGGTCATTCTGGGCTACAAAGTCAGTTCCAAGACTGCCGGGGCTACATGGAGAAACTCTGTCTCAAAAAATCAAAACATATACATATATACATAATACATACATATATGCATACATACATACACACATGCATACATACATACATGAATACATACAGCAAGCTAGTTTTTCTGTGTCTGTAAAGTCTAAATAGTGTTTATGTTTGGCAACTGAGGAAATTCTCCTAGCACTTGAGTTTGATACTGTGGAGATTTAGCTGCAGCTCCCAGAGTATTTACCCACAAGGGGGCATCCTGATTATCAGGAAGCACAGATGCCAAGATAAATCTTCAGTTTCCTTAGTTTCTCAGGTATAAATAACCCTTTGCCTATTTGATCTCATGGTGATATAATGGTCAAGCCTTGTTATATTCCCAGAGGGATCTAAGACTCCATCCAGCTTTGGAAGCATGGAGACCAATTTTTCTCTGCTGTTTCATAAATTTCATTGTCTACAAAACTCTGAACATTTTACTTAAATGAACCTTGTTCATTGATTCATACATTGTCTACACTGCTGTTACACAATAGTCGCATATTAGTTGCTCACTTGTGAAAGAGCTCCAAAGCAGAAGATATTTCCTATTTGATACTTTATAAGAGACATTTCATCAGCCTCTGATCCTGTCAGTATGGCAGAGTGGTTATGAATTCATATTAATACCCTTAGCTCAGTAAGCATAGAAGGTATGTTCTAAGAATCTCAACCAATCATAACCATAAATGGTTCTTAGAGAAAGCAGAGTAGGATATAAATTGGTCTTCAAGGAAGATGGAGTAAACTTCTCATAGAAGAATTAGTTCTCTGTGCTGAATCCTGATCAGCAGGTAAACAATTGGTGATGCAACTGTAGCTTGCTAGCT